TTGGTGGGTCCGCTTCTGTATGCAGATACAGAATCCCCCTCGCTGACCCCAGTGCTATTCTCAGCCTCACCGCATAACTCAGCGCCTGCCTGAACCTCGCTGCACATCCATTATTCACATTCAATTATGTAGTCTGATATTTCACAACGTACAACAAGACCCAGGGTTTACCAGAGAGTGCGTCTTGAAGAGACCCGTTGGGCATGAACTCATATACCACCATCTGAAATAGTAATTAATTAAGCATTGAGTGAGACGTTACACTTACACAAGAGACCCTTCAAAATAAACACACAAAAAAATAAACTGATCACCTGCTCTCCTTTCTCATCGCAGTAGCCAAGCAAAGAAACAAGGTTTCGGTGGTGTAGCCGTGAGAGCAACTCGATCTCCGTGTAGAACTCCTTTTGGCCCTGCAGAGATCCTTTCTCTGCACGTTTCACCGCCACTACCAGGCCACCTGGTAAATGCCCTCTGTACACCTTCCCGTACCCTCCTCTGCCAATCTGGGAGAGATCACTGAACCTGCTTGTTGCCGAATCAAGTTCCATGAAATTGTAACCCTTCACGCTCTCCATGTTCATTGGAGATTTAGGTACTTACAACATGGAGAAGATAGATAATACATTAGCCGTTTTCACAGAAACCGGCTTCTAACAAGTGTAGCTACTTAACTCTCACTTACTGGGCCTTTGTTGTTCCATGTCCACTTGCTTAGCTTTTCTCTTCTGTTTTCTTCTCTTGATGAAGAGAACCAGCGCTAGAGAGCATAATGCAAGGAAGAAAGCAATGGCTCCTACAATGATACCAACTTTGACGCCTTGGCTCATTCTCGTGGTGTTATACGGCTGTTCGAGAGTAACTGCATGGAGCAGTCAACACCATATAAACAGTTACTCCTACTTGTGGTACACCAAGAATTTAGTTACGAGCAGACTATATATATATATATATATATATATATATATACCGTCTTTGTAAGGACCCAGGAGGTTGATATACATAATCTCGTAGGGGCCAAGAGAATCATCGGTATCCAGAGAGAAAGTTGCAAAAAAGTCAACAATGCGTTCAAGCTCCGTGGTGTTGAATTTACTGTTCAAGTCACTGTACTCGGGGAAAACCTTCATGTTGATGGCTAGCCTTGGACCGGAATGCCATGAGAATGATTCAATAGACAGCTGATAGAGACTTATCCCGAGTTTGGAGGCCACATCGAGCAAGTAGGAGACGGTGTAAGGTCGGAAGTCAGAGAAACTTGGACTCCTGAGACGAAGTCCAACGCCAAGGGGCGCAGCGCAGAAACATGGAACTGGAGAGCCAATCACGTAGTCGTAGTTTTCGCTCAAGGGGCAGGACTGGCGTTTGCATTCTCCCCTGCTCGAGTTTTCCGACGAACTTCCTGGAGATTCCACCTCTACTGTTGAGACGCCACAGAGTTGAGCTATGTTTGGTTCATTAACTCTTGCACATACTGGGTTTCCGTAAAGCCTGCTCATCAAAAATCACAAAAAAAAAAACAGAGTACTCTGATTTCTCTCTCTGTCCACATTATTAACCCATCTCCTCTTTAGTGCGTCACATTTACATAATCTTACTTGACCGTGACATTGGAAGGAGGGTTTAGAAGGCCTGACACATTTGTAAACAAGTTGTGCCTCAAGTCCCTGCAAGTTTTTTTTTTTTTTGTGTTTGGTAAAGTAGATAATCAGTAGTCTTGCTGTTAAAAAAGCCATTAACGTCATCGTGTGTTTTTGTAAATATGCCGTGTCTTACAGGGTAAGTTTCGCCTCTGCAGCAAAGCTTCTCTTCTCCCATATCACAGGAATCTCTCCGCTTAAGTTGTTGTTCTGCAGAGACCTGATTATATTTTTTTAAACAACACTCTTGTCTTTTGTTATCTTCCTTAAAACAACATTTCTTCTTAGATTATTAAGAAGAGAAAAACTGGATCTTACAGTCTCTGCAAACGTGGAAGGCCTGAAAAATTTGAAGGAATAGATCCGTTGAGCATATTGTTGTGCAGGTTACTGCATCCAGCAGACAAGTGCAGTTCATATTTTCAATAACAATGTAACGACATATTCTATCTCTTATTTTCTTGGTTTGGCACGTAGCTTACATAGTTGTGATGTTCCCAGAAAACCTGTTCTTGGGAATCTCTCCTGTGAGTTTGTTGGAGGAAAGATCTCTGAAGAATAAAACAGAGAAAAAGCCTTAGCGACTAACATAACATGGAATGCTAATGGTTTCTTCCTGTTTACGTGACGACTCACAAGTAATAGAGAACCGGTGATCTGCTCAAATCAGGAACTGCTCCTTGTAAATTGCAGTTTCTGAGACTCCTATTTATGATGTAACCAAATAAAATCAGTGCGCCACAGGAAAAGGCCAAAAAACTATTCTACTATCTTGTGCTTCTTACAGTTTGACGAGATTGGGTATCTTTCCGTAGGAAGATGGGATCTCTGTCCCAACGAAGTTGTTATTGTCCAGTTGTCTGTAAATTAATGAAGAGGCAGATTAAGTTGAATATGGAAGAAAGTGAGTCTTCTCTAATAAGAAGTTGGAGACACAAAAAGGCACTTGCATAATTTTCAAGCTTGCCATCTGAGAGAACTCAGGTGGAAGATATCCAGTTAGCTTGTTATTGTCCATCAAGCTGCAAAATTTGAGCCACACAACAAGGCCATGACGATCAGATTTTTAATAAGATGAACAAATTTATATGGAATCAAGAAACTTACAAGTGCAGAACGTCGGATAAGGAAGAGTACTCAGGCGGAATCTGACCCGTGATTGAGTTGTTGTTCATGTGACTGGCAAAGAAAGTACAAGTGATGTCAAAAGGGTTTGTTTGAAGAAGGAAGAGAGAAGGGAGATCATCTCACAAGTGCTTCAGTTTTTTCAGATTTGCTAAGGACGTGGGGAGTTCTCCGCTAAGGTCATTGTAATCTATCTGAAGGATTAATAGATTGGAAAGAGAGCCGAGTTCTTGAGGCAAAGGCCCCGTCAGTTGATTTCCACTTAGTAGCCTGCAAAAGAAAAGAAAAACAACAACATACAGACAGCTGTTTAGTGATGCGGTCTTGAAGCCTTGCTGAAACAATGATCAAAGGCTACTTACAAGAAGATAAGTTGAGTCAAGTTGCCTACTTCTGGCGGAACCTGACCGTGAGATCGTTCCACATAAAGTTCCTGTGGTCAGGTAATATATATAGATTTAAAGAAGACGTTGGTTTCAAAACCAGAGCTCTGAATATCAGAGGACATACAATATGGTGAGATTTGCTAGACGGCTGAGTTCAGGAGCCAGTGTTCCGGTGAGGTTCATATTGAGCAATCGCCTGCATCATTTGATCAAACCAAGAAACAACTAAAGATTTGGTTCTGGAGGGCCAAAACTATTGAAGAAAGTGTAAAAGTGAGACCGTACAACTCTTTAACATGAAGAAAGCCATCGGAAGGATCAGCGACGCATAAGACACCGGTCCAGTTAGAGGCGCATGGATCCGTCTTTTTCCAGTCCTGAAGATGATACATAGGGTCCTTGAGTTTGCGACGAACAGCCTGCAGAGCACTAACTGCAAAAAAAAAGACCTCATTAGCAATTTAGCATTCACACTCATCACTGAGAAATATAGAGGACCGTACCATCAAGCGGATGAGTGATCTGTTGTGCATCCAGCAAAGACAAGCAACAGGAAGACAACACCAGAATGACTCCAACTGCACCCATCATCTCGTCTATCTTCTTATCTGATTTATTCCAAAAACAGATCATTAACTCTTTAGTTTTGCCCAGAGTTGACACCTTGAAATGCTGAGAGAAGTCCTTGTAAACTTGGAGAATGAGAGTACACCTTGAAAAATAACAAGTATATATACAAGTTCAATACAGAGACACAAGTGGAGATGAGTTTGAAAATACTCTAAATGGAACTGTCAATAACCCCCAGTTGGTGGTTTTGCTGCCATATTTAAATGTGTTGGGAGAGTTTTAAAGGCAATTAACGGTTTGTTCAACTCTCTTCTGTCTTCTCCCCCATTGGACCGGATGAATTCTTCTGTATTCCTGCAAGTTACTGCCTACTTTCTCTCTTTCTATGAAAATTTCAAACTTTTCTTTTATTTAATACATAACTTGAACCATATCCACCTCCAACCGTTAACATTTGTTTATTGCTAGTGGCCTATTTCTTCTTCTTCTTTTGGCGAGTAAATAATGTCAAAACACATCCATGTCAGAACTATCTATGTGTGTACATTTTCTTCGTCTCGCATAAACGACGGATACTTTTATTAATAATATGGGCACTTGCTTGAACATCCCCGCAAGAACAGAACCATCTTGACTTATTCAGAAAAATATAGGACAAAGCTCAGAACTAACTTGACTTGTTCAGAAAATAGCATGTAGTGACACAGCTAACTGTATCATATAATTATTTTGTGGAACAGAAAGGTTTCACATCATATAATATAAATCAAATGAAGCAAGAGAAGATCCAATAAGAACACACCAAACGGAAATTTGAGTTGACAAAAGGTGTTTTTTATAAGCTTTTTAAAAAAAAACAGGGTAATGTAAGAAAGACTCTAAGATATTCAACAACACAACTGACTCTGTCCTTTTGCCATTTGTTTGGTGCTAGTGGGTGGAATTTGCTCCGACAAGGACCTGTTTTCTCAAATCACACCATTTCATATGTTTGCTTTAACAAAAGAAGTGGTGACAAAGTGGACCAAGACAATTGAGATTGATTGTTTTTTCTAGTAAGAAGTAGGGTTTGAAAGTGGTTAGCGTTAAATATTAGATAGAAATTTAGAGTGGGGTGGGGATTGTAATAGAGATCCTAAAGAGTAAAGTGGAAGTGTGTGTGTGTCCCCAAGAAACTATAATTGAGTCTTTATGGAGCTCCGTGCCACACAACACTCTCGGCTTTTCTCACGTGCTGTGTGAATCATACTATCATCACTTTGGGTTACGAAATTGAAAGTGCTAATATAAAGGAGTCTCGGAAGAGTTTAGGGCTCTGGTTTCCAAGAAAGTGTTCAACTTTTGAGAGAGGAAGGTAACGACGCCCCCAAAGCCTATGTCTTTGGAAAGCTCCTCCGCAAATACCACCATTACCAGATCAGTGCAGACGCTGACAAGTGTATTTCTGTAATGGGCATCTCCGACGACAGCCCTCAATCTACTCCTGCTCCTCCCACCAGCTTCTCCAACCCCTTTACCACCCGGTATGTTCTCTCTCCATTTCAAAGTTTGTTCCTTTTTGTTTTGTTCTTGTCTTTACTTGCTCGACGAATGAAGGATTCGGTTTTATCATATGAAATTGCAGCATATTCTCCGATGTTGCGGGAGATATCACAATTGTTGTGGATGGAGAGCCTTTTCTACTCCACAAGGTTAGTGGCCTGTTATTTTGTACATACACGCCCAAGATGTTCGACGAAATTCAACTTACGGGTTTTTAAAGAATATTGCAGTTTCCTCTGGTGGCTCGTTGTGGAAAGATCAGGAAAATGGCGGCAGAGATGAAGGACTCCTCAAAGCTGTCGCATACAGAGCTCCGAGACTTCCCAGGCGGCCTAAGACGTTCGAACTCGCCATGAAGTTCTGCTACGGCATCAACTTCGAGATCACCGTCTCCAACGTGGTTGCTCTCCGCTGCGCAGCCGGTTACCTGGAGATGACAGAGGACTACAAGGAAGAGAACCTGATCGCACGGGCCGAGACTTACCTCGAGCAGGTCGCATTTCGCAGCCTGGACAAGTCCGTGGAAGTCCTCTGCTCCTGCGAGACGCTTCACCCTCAGGACATTGCTGAAAGGTGCGTGGAGGCCATCGCTGTAAATGCTTGCAGAGAACAATTAGTGTTGGGGCTATCACGGCTGAACCGAGGCAGTGAATCAGCGGAGCTCAAGAGAGGAGACTGTCCTGAGTGGTGGATCCAAGACCTCTCTGCTCTGAGGATTGACTATTACGCCCGAGTTGTCTCCGCCATGGCCAGAACAGGGCTGCGCTCAGAGAGCATCATCACGTCTCTGATGCATTACGCCCAAGAATCGCTCAAGGGTATGCGAAACTGCCAGGAGCGGACCAAGCTCGACTCGGGTACAATCCAGAACGAGCAGAGGAACGTCGTTGAAGCCATCGTTAGCCTTTTCCCTAATGACAAAGTCCCTTTGAGTTTCCTCTTTGGAATGTTGAGGGTTGGGATTACCATAGACGTAGCCATCTCTTGCAGGCTCGAGCTCGAGCGGAGAATCGCTCAGCATCTGGAAACAGTCTCGCTTGATGATCTTCTAATACCTGTCGTCCAAAGCGGGGATGATTCCATGTACGATGTGGACACTGTCCATAGGATACTCGTCTGCTTCTTGAAGAGGATCGAGGAGGAGGAAGAGTATGACGAAGATGAGTGCTGTTGCGAGAACGAGACCGAGAGTCTGATTGGTTCCACCTGCCACGGCTCATTACTAAAAGTGGGTCGGATCATGGATGCGTATTTGGCGGAGATCGCACCAGACCCGTGCCTGAGTCTGCACAGGTTCACTGCCTTGATGGAGATATTGCCCGATTATGCGCGTGTCATGGATGATGGGCTCTACAGAGCCATTGATATGTTTCTAAAGGTAAAGTCTGTTTCTAGGCCCGAATAAGGAGACTGTGTGTCTCGTATTGATCTGAGTTGGAATGCTTTTGTAATGATGGTTAGGGGCATCCGTCGCTGACGGAACAAGAATGCAAGAGTCTCTGCAAATTCATAGACACTGAGAAACTTTCACAAGAAGCATGCAGCCACGCGGCTCAGAACGATCGGCTACCGGTGCAGATGGTGGTTCGAGTCCTCTACTCAGAACAGCTGCGTCTCAAGAAGGTTATGTCCGGAGAGTCCGGGGAAGGGATATTGTTGTCGTCACAGAAACTCAGTAACGGAGCAGTGTCTCCGCGTGACACTTATGCATCGCTAAGGAGGGAGAACAGAGAGTTGAAGCTGGAGATCTCGAGGGTGAGAGTGAGGCTGAGCGAGTTAGAGAAGGAGCAGGTTTTGATGAAACAGGGATGATGGACAAGTCGGGTCATAGTGGAACATTGCTGACCTCGCTTTCCAAAGGTATTGGGAGGATTTCGATATTTGGTGGAGAAGAGAAGCGGCGGAAGGCTAGCCGCAAATCCAGGTCCAGGTTGGAGAGCAAAACCGGTAGGAGCGGAACAGAGTCTATGTTTTAGGTAGCACGTAAATTCCACCATGTTTTCTCAACAAAACCGGATGGTTCTTGAGTGTATATCTCGTGACGATTCTTGCAAGTATTGGATTGCGATTTCTCAATAATAATATTTTAGAGGAAAGAGAGAGCTTATGGTCCTTAGCCGCAGAGTCTTTCAACGTCGTCCTGTGCTTGAAGCTACTTGATCCTGCTTGCATTCAGAGACAGAGTAGTCGCTGCAACCAAAAGTGGAATGGACTTGAAGCAAAGCCCGACTTGGTACCACCAGAGAGGCCCCATATTATGGCCGATTGATTGTGACGAAGTAGGCTCATTTAGAAACCCAAGCACAGCTAGCTGTTTATGACAAAAACAAAAAACAAAAAAAGGTTGAAGAACTAAAAGAAAACCACCCATCAGTAAACGACTTTATCAAAGGCACAAATCGGATCAAGGATCATGTTTCTTGCTTTCGTTTCTTCTCGGAGGATGTTGTAGTAGTAGATCGTCGATCCATGTAGCTGCAGAGTGAAATGAAGAAACCAGTTTATATGCTATTTTAGTAGGACTTATATATTTGCAAAGAAGCCCAGTTAGGTGATAGGCCCATAATCGATGGGCTCTGTTTCAAAGAAGCCGGTCGCTTCCTTAGGGTCGGTCAACCTTTGGATTGGAATTGGCTTAGGATTGCCGGATTGGATCCGCAATTGCAAATGCAATTCCAATTCAATTCATCCTCACAGCCGTTGATTCACGAACAATACGCAATTACTCTCTCTCTCTCTCTCTCTCTCTCTCTCTCTCTCTCTCTCTCCCCAGCTCGCCGGATCTTCGTTGTGTTCTTCGTCTGGGATTTGTTTTACCTCAACCTTAGTCAAAGCGATCGCCTACCTTTTGACTCTATTTTTTTCTTCATTTCCTCGATCGCCTATCCATTGATTGGCTTTAGGGTTTCCTACACGATATGAGCTAATACGATTTGAGTTCACCCAAAGCCCCTCTATGGGTTCTCGGCGTTGCAGGTAGTGTTATCGCTTTATCCCTGTTCCTGCTTACTCGTTGCTTTATCTTGAAAAACGCGTTTTTCTACCACTGTTGATAATCTTCGTTCGATTCATTGTAATATATGCTTAGGGTTTTCTTCTCCGGCCTAAATGGAAACGTCCGCCACCAATCATGACGCCTTTAGGGGTTCTCCTCGAAGAAACTCCATCCTCTCAGCCTCTAACATCATCCAGGCCCCCATATCAACCTTGTTAGAGTATTCGGGTCTCTTTCGAACAAGGACAAGCCCTAGCCAGGAGGCGGAAACGCTGGTTAGTGATGATTCTGCAGGAATCTCCAACGGGGAGGTCGCCATTCGGATTATTGGGAACGGGGAGCAGGATGCTGAAACTGATAATAATGGTCCCAGGGAAGCCAGTGCCCATGACCATACTGAAGTTTTGGGTTCTGGTAGTCAAGTTCATACCCTGGCTAGTAGCTAGGAGAAGGGGCCATCTCAGGCTGCTCCAGTCTGAATCTGTACCCTATGTGATACCGCAGACCGGATTCACCTTAAGACCAAAGGATTACGATTTCAGCAGGCTGCTCGGGGATCGGCAAATTCTTCCCTTTTCTTTGCTGCTCCTGGTGGTTTTATCCGCAGCATTTGCAGTATTCTCCTCCTTTTCGTTAGCTCTTCCACTACTTGGTTTATACTGTCTCACGGGCTTGCTTACGTAATTGACTTTTGTTTGCTGCCTGATCGTTTCAGGTTCTTTGTCGCAATTTGGATTGCTGCTTTCATGTTCAAGTCCAATGATATTTTGAAAAGCAAAAAGCTTTGAATTTTGGCATTGCTTTTCACTTATTCCTTTCTTATTTCCAAATTCATATTGCTTAGTCAAGCCTCCAGCAAATGTTCTACTAATATTTAATTACAGGTCGTCGAGAGGTGCATATCTCGGCGTTAATCGGAGTCTACTGCGTAGCGTGTTACCGGCCCCTGTGATGGTATGGGATGTTTACATTGGTAGATTTCGGCAAGGATGACATCTTTGTACATCACCTAATCATAAGCTCCCATCTCAAGGCCATACCCCCTTTCTGAGCTTACCATTTTTAATCATATGTGGTGACATGGATTGATACCCTTCTCATCCGTATGGTTGTTCCTTTTTCCTAAATGAGTACTCATTTCTTCAGCTAATAACCACTAATCTCTACTTTATCCACACAATAATTAGCTTGCCTCTGTTCGAAAACATTTTATCCACTATGTTTCGTTTTACTCTCATTTTAGTATACTTTACATCAACACTTGTACAATGTGCCATGTTTTCCATCAGATACCCACATTGTACAGCAGGCACTCAATGATATATACCAGTCTTTTCTGCTGATGTCCTACAAGAACAGTAGGGGTCGAAAAGTACTCGTAAACAGGTGATATGTAGATAAAAATGTTATTCTCTGCCCCCATGTATGCTGTATTCAGCAGTTCCACCTGGCCTGGCTCACTGTGCATGTGTGTGATACCACCTGTGGCAAGCGATCATAAAATTGGTTATTTACCTTTTTTTTTACATGCAAGGTCAATTGCTAACTTTGGTTGAGTATTTGATGCTTCTGTATCGCTCTTTGCTGCCTACCCCTGTATGGTACCAGTTTCTCTTCTTGAAGCAAGGATTATACAGAAGCCTCTTCTCGTCTCTGATGACGGATTTATATACTGTGACTTTCAAGCTCAACTTCAGTTGTTGAAAGAAGGTAGGTGTTTCTCTAGAATTATAGCCTCCCTTTATATTCTGGAGCTGAGGGAATTTTGGGCAAATGCAAATCAGGTTCAATCATTCTTTACGGCATTGAGAGGGCTTTGTCCACGCAAAGAGTGCACTATGGATCGTATGCCACTACAGAGCAGGTACAGTATAATATTAAAGATTTAACAATTAAGTAGTGCCTTTTAGAACTCAAAGCCCAAACGAGCAAAGAAGTGGCTTTTCTAATGTTGTGTCATGTGAATGCGGCGGGCGACCTGTGCTGTGCCTCTGCCCGAGAAAGATGCACACCCCAGTTCTTCTGCGCTGCAGAACACATGTTCTGCGAAGACGGCAGTTTCAGAGTGGTGAGGTTTTGTGCATATAGCAGTTCTATTCTTTGTGTCTGTCTTGTGTGAAATCAGGATGTTGAAGGAATGTATTTTTGTCTGGGCGAAGGTTTGAGAGAGAGAGGACGTGTCCTCTGTGCAGCGGCCTTGGTCAAACCAGCAGATCTAAAATCATTCGGTGATGGATCCACCAGCCTTTTCTTCCCAGATATTCTGATTAAAGCACATACAACCGACTCCAAAGTACAAAAGTCGCCCCAAGACTCACCTGCTCACTTCGCTAGTCTTCTTAGGTGAATGTATTAATATACAATGCCCATTTGAGCTGTGAACCAAAAACACCACTGATGCCTTGAAAGATGTTCATACAACTCTCATTTAGTTAATATGAAGATCCCCTGTTTATAATATTCCGTAGCCAAAAAAAGAAGTAAAATAGACACAATCTGATGTCATCGTGTATAATAATGAATGAATGAAAATGCATCGAGCACAACGAATCCGAAATCACATTTCCACACACAGAGCTCCTCTATTTGAAGAATCTCTTTTATTATCTTCTTCGCTCGGAGACTGCGTATGTGTGAATGAAGAAGTCATCAAAGTGGGGGCTACAGCCTAACTTGTGTCACCTGGTAAAAAGTCCTTAGGCTTGTGTCACCTCTGTCACTTCCTTCGTCCTATGTACACAACGTCCTGCATAGTGAGCTGGTGGTATTCTACAATCTCCCTCAAGAACCGTTCTCCCCTTGCGTACACTGAGTTCTCATGAGCCAACCGTGCTTTCTCTGCTAGTAATCTCTCTAGCTGGAGACGAATCTGAGAAAATATAAGCATCCACACCGGAGTTTTGTCAGATGGAAATGCAGCAAACAATGTTAGATACAACATCACTCAGTTCTTTACCAGATCTTCGTCTGCAGGGTTGCTTCCTTTCTCACGGTGGTTCTCCCCTCAGATGTTTATTCTCCTCTTCAAGCTGAGCACAGCGCTCTTTCGCAAACAAGCAAGATCTGCTTTCACAGTTTTCAGCTCACGGAGGAGTAGTTTTGCTTTGGCAGCCGTGCCATCGCTACCTGCAGCTCACGCAAGAACTATCAACCGACAGAGCCATCACAAATGCCCAACCAACCATCAAGACTGGACCTTACATCGCGAGATGCCTTGAGTTGAGTCTCATTGTTCCATATAGATTTAGCTGCAGTGGCTGCTCTGGGGACTTTTTTCCATGAGCTACTTACTCCCATCTTGATTGATTCTGATTCTCTTCTTTACCACCAGTGCCTCTTCGTCTAGCATGAAGTTTTCGTGTTTCGTGGATGATATCAGCTGTTTTAGTCCTCCACGAGCGTCCGGCCTTCCTGGAGGAACAAGGAACGGATGTAAGGCAATTCAACCAAAACAAGAGAAAGAAACCAGAATGACAGAGAAAGAAGAAAACACCTCAAAGGCTTTTCTCAAAAGAGTTCACCATCTGGTTTAGGGAAGACGTAAGCTTATCCAACCCTCTCCGAAGCTTCGGATTATCCATTTTCGTGAACCCTTCATCTGACAGGTATGAAAACCGTGTGACTGCAACACACACGGTACCAAACCATGATGACCTCAAATCAAGAGGATGGATCATTTATGTACTTGACACCGCCAAAACAAAACCTGAGAAGCTGTTGAGCTATCAGTTGATTTGTCCATCTTCAATGACAGATTTTGTGCTTTCTGGGCTATGACCCCCCACAACAGCCCCTTTGGCGCTCGGTCTCGTATGCCGTAAAACCTCTGCAGCGTACACCCACAGAAAAGAACATGGGATCAGTGGGCGAAGAAAGATCATGAACCGCAGTTTACAATCACAGAGTCCTTTATAGACCATAGATGAACCCAAGTTGTAATGAAGATCACTAGATTTGACCTCAGCTGAATCTGATCAGGTGAGAGAGTTTAGTTTTTAACACAGAGTCAGAAGTCAATTGTCTTGCGTCTGTGAGCTTCAAGTTTTTTAAGATTGGTCAAATACTGCATTGTGTTTTCAGCATTGATGATACTCTAAGAAGAACTGCTGCGGAAACATAAAGCAATCAGTTGAGGATCAAAAAGGAGAAACCTTAGATCTGGGTTGGTCAAAAGCAGGGTTTGTGAAGGACGATCGAGTCGGCGGAGATATATCCTTGACGGGAAGCGGTGTCGGTGATGCTTTCCGGCGGAAGGTATAGTCAAATCTCGTCCTGGAAAGTCGCCCAAACTTTGCGATCCCCTGCCTTTCTCCTATACGCCATAATTTACTTTATTTGTTTTGCTTTTTCGGGTTTTCTTCTCCTGGAAAACAAGTTACAGCTTAGCAAAGAGGAGAGACGGGACGATTGATATACAAAAACAAAATTATAAGGACAAATCGATGGATGCGGACCCACGAGGGTCGCAAGAAAGAAGCCAATTATCTAGCCTTTGTTAATGGACAAGTCGACAGAATCTGAAATTGGCAACGAGATATGTCATTTAAAACAAACCAGCTCGTCTCTGGAGAACATCTTCGTTCGTTACAGCCTAGAAAGAATTGGTGTGCAAATTATGACCCTTTGAATCTCAAAAGTATCTATCTATCATGGGAGATGTAAATCTCTCAAGCAATGGCCCCTATTTTTTGAACTCACAAGTCCACAGTCTACTCTACCTTGAAGGGTTTTAGCGACATGGTTGAGATTTCGCTGCGCGACTTGTTACGCCTCCGTTGTCCGACTCCTTCTGTGACCCTTGAGTGAGTATCCATCCCAATTTGGGCATTCAGGCCACTCTCTGGTTCATGAATCAGAAAATTCGCAGGAGGAGACCCTTCTTGACGAGTCAGAGACTTTGATCCAAAACGTAAAAAAGAAAATAAAGTGACAGAGGGATGAGAAATTTACCCAACAACTCTCATCTCCTGGTCGTCGTAGTTGACCCCTCTCGGCCATAAATTCAATTCTCTGAATCCCAAACTTTGGCTTCTGCTATTTTGCTTGCATCTCCCTCACCGAGACCATATCTTCTTTGCTTGGAGAGATGACTCCTTCCTAGGTCTCTTTTGAAGACATCCGGTGTTTTCCTTGGGGTAAGCTTTTCTCCTCATATCCGGATTTTGTTACCTCGCCTTTCTTGGCGTCGTTTTTTTCTGAGAAATGAGAAATTCGAGCAATTGGACAGATGGTGTATCCCATCTCTGTGTAGATCTAGCCCTTGCTGCTTGCTCAAACTAATATGTATTTGCCCTCCTCCTTTTCAGACCTCAAAGTCGCAGCCTTGGATCTGATGGAATTGCAACCAACCGCAGGGCCCCGTGGATACCCATTCAATCCCATCTTCAGCGTGTAATCTGTGTGGAAGGAGTCGTTCAATCCGCTTCCGATGATCTTGAACCCTTCAGCTTATGTGGAGACTGTAAGTTTTTTGTTGTGCTTGAAAGATTTCGGCACCCCCGCGCCTCCCTTGACCCGGCGGCAGACAGCTAGGAGGAGATTTAGGAGGATGCGACGGAGGCGGGAGAAGTAGGCACGGCAGCTCTGAATCCGTCTGGCTGTGATCTTTCCACCCAACAATTCACACATTTGATAAGCATGGCAAGGCAAAGCTGACAACTGCTCATGAAACTAGCTCTCATACCACTCCAAGTGGTTCTACAAGATGGAGATTTTTTTTCAGAATCTGAAAGTGAAGATTTTGACAACTCCTATGGCGAAAACTGAATCAAACGCTAGTTTTGAGCCTCTACAGATTTTCCCATGGTGATTATGATGCCATTTCTCTTAGCGCTTACGGTGGAGAGTCTGATGCTTCCACGGACAGGCATGGTTTACTGGATGCGGAAATCTTTGTTCAAACAGACGACAGGAGCGACATTGACTTTGACACTGATATAGACCCCCATGCATGCTGGTCTGAACCAGTGGAACTCAGACGAAGAAGACAGGGGAATGGGAGGAGGAAGGAGCGGGTCCATCTGATGTTGCAGGTCCACGGTCTAGAAATTATTGTGGCAAGTCCAAGTGAGAGCTACAGCTCCATGACCCGGTTTGATTCCCCTGAGCTTGAGAGAGGGTTTCGTCAAAGAATTATAGAGAGTAGGCAGGCGTTATCTCGCAACATCTTCACTGGTTTGGAGGATATGGAGTTCTCTCCCTATCCTACAAATGTTGCGGATTATCTTGATGAGAGAGGCTTTGAAGAGCTGCTTGAACAACTTGCTGAGTCCTGACAATTCAAGAAAGAGGTGCACCACCTGCATCTGTGTCGTGCGTTCAGGAGTCTTCCAAGGGTTATCATTGGAGAGGAGCATGTAAAGAAGGGCCAAGTCTGTGCGGTCTGCAAGGAGCTTTTCACCCTCCGCAATGAAACCACGCAGCTTCCGTGCCTCCACCTATACCATGCTCATTGTATCATACCCTGGCTGAGTGCCCGTAACTCCTGCCCACTCTGCCGGTACGAGCTCCCAACAGATGATAAAGATTACGAGGAGCGAAAGCAGAATGTGCTGGATGTGAGCGAGAGTAGCTCCTCCTCTGATGATGACACAGAAGCGGGGGGGGGCCGAGGAACATGTAGAGAGAGGGGAAGTGAAGCTGGTGTGAGCAGAGTCAGCAGAGGAAGATGGCTGTTTCTGGCTGCTGCACCAGTTGTGAGTCTGGTGGGGGTTGTGTTGGCTATGTGGCTAAGCAATCCACAGAGGAGGGATATAGTAATCTCTCACAGCCAAAGGGGGAACAGGACCAGAAGATGGCTGCCGTTTTTCTGACAGCTGATGACCAGTGTTCGTCCAGAATTTGTCTTTGTTTACAGACCCTAAAAGGTTCACTTTAAGTTTCTGTTTCATCTCCTGAATATTGATTGACTTGCAGTGTTTGCACATGTTAGTTTAATTGAAGCTTAACCAAACTTGTGATGTGTGTTGCATATAATCTTGATTTATTCAGAGAAAAAAAGGAAGTGCTCTCATTTGGCATTAGTTGAGAAGAATTATAAACTCACATTTACACAAGAAAGAAAGACAACGACTTTTGGTTGGTGCAGGCACATATGAGATGGTCATGTATTTTCACCGAAGTATAATTAAGAGACTTGTACAGTGGCAGATGAATGTGTCAAGAAGTGGGAGAAGAAGAAGAATTCAGAAGAGAATGTTGATATACAGTACCATCCATCCAGCCATTGAGAAGATGGCGAAAATGTGAACCCAGAAAAGCACAGCAGCCGATTCCCTTCCGCAGCCTCTAAGGTTGGCAACAGCTCCTGAGAGCACAGAGGTAGGCATTGTGTGCTGAAGGAGTAACACAAATCTGAACATCTTGTCATCAGCAGGAAGGAACCCAAGTTTGTCTGCTAATGTCACTATTCCTAGTCCTACTGGTGGCACCAACACCAGCCGTCCAAATATAATTGCCGCTGTTGTCTTGAAACCAAGTTTTGAACTTCCTGGTCCTAAATTTTGTGCAAGGAACCAATAAGTGCCATATGGGCTTAAAACATATTCAAGTCAGTATGAAAAGAGAGCAACCATCCTACCGTTAATGAGATTCCCCCCAAGTGCCAGTAAGATACACGGTAATCATTGCGTCCCTGTTAGCCAAGGTTATAGTTACTAAATCATTGATTAGCAGCTGTTTCCAGAAGACATATAAAATGAGTACGCTTACCCAAGAATCATGCAGCTATCTGTGAAGAAGAAAAGAGGTGCACCATTTGTGAATATCAACTTCTTCGTGAAAGGTATTTGCACCAAGTATCATGGCAAGAATCTGAAGTGAACAAAAATACACGTCTAGTTTAGATACATGGTAAAGGCAATGGGCAAGGCAAGACTCTTCTTCATCGGTTATCAGATAGTACAGGAGAACAGAACAGAGAACGAGATACTTACTGAAGCAACTATTGCAGGTTGGACAATTTGCTTCAGTTTCAAACTTCTCATAGAGGAAAACAAAGATCTGTGTCACCTACATCACGGAGCAAAATATACAATTTCATAAGGACCGGCTTTGTATCAGGCAAAATACTCCTGAGCCATAATAAAGCTAAAATCCATAATTGCGTTTCACCTTGCCTTTCCTTGAATCCCCTCTTCCACTGGGTTCGATGCTCCGTACAGGCAGGCGAACTTGAGGAGATGAAATGTCCTTGGGGTAATTTTGAGTAAGCAAGGGGACTTGCTCTGGAGCAGCATCTACTGGAAGGTTTTTCAAAGGAAGATTTCTTCTTCAGCATCAAATTCCTTCTGGAGGAGGAGCAAACATCTGGTACACGTATGTATAGAGGATGATGGCACCAACCTGACATAAACGTTAAACCTCGTGGTTAATTAAAGCCCCTGAGAGAGAACCACATGTAAACTAGAGAAGTGACCCAAAATACTATCTAACTCCATAAACACTAATGACGAATAGCTCCTATATAAGATAGTTTTTCATATGCGGTTACACAAGTAGCTCCTCCATTCTTAAACAGGGAAGACACAAGCCAAGAAACTGTGTCACTGTAAAGGAGGAGACAGCAAAGGCACAAACTTGAGCAGCTAATGCTCTGATTCTAGCAAGTGTAATAGCCGTTTTTAAAGAGAAAAGCGTACCCATTGACCAAAAGAGATATAAGCAGTGCCATCAATGCTACAACTTTTCGGAGTCACCAAAAGGGTTGGAGGTGTCCCTACAGAGAGCCGCTAGTAAAACAAGAGGCACATTGCCGATGTTACCTGAAACAAACAAGGCACATAAACTGAGACTAGCCACAGAGGAGACAATGCAAGGTACGGTAATGTGTCTTAGGAAAAAGAGTCCAACCAACTCCGATCTGTATGATTGTAAACTTGAAATAAGGGTAAGGCGGACGAATGATGGAAGCGACAACGAAGCCGATTAACGACCCTGAGATTGTACCAAGAACGACGTTCACCGGAATGAACCACCTGATTAAGAAGATGCGTTTATGGACCTACCTAATGTGGTCTAAGGAGTTAAGACTAGAGAGAGTAGGGAGGGAAACAAACCACTGAAGCATTTTGTTGGAGAGTGACGGCTTGTCCGAGCTGGGAAAAGATCAAGCAGGGAAGCAAAAAGCGAGAAGACCAACTGTACGAAGAGGACAAAGCTGAGAAAACTCACGTCTGTGCAAAGGCGTAAAAGTCAGAAGGAATCAATTATTACCCCGTTCAAGAGTTTGCGGCCAGAGGGAGGCAAGATGTTGACGTACTTGGAGGCCATGAGAAGGCCCAGGAAGCACATGGTGAAAACTTTGGCAATTGGCATCACGGCGATTTTGATGGTACCCAGCACCGATTCACCCGGCCAGCCCGTCGGAATCTCCATGGAAATCGGCCAAGGCGGCGAGAATCCGCGCTATCATTCTGACAAGTGACAATCCCTAACCCCAGCGCAAGCCAAAAGCAGCGATTTTGACGGTTGACTTGGGTTGGAAATCTGGAGAGGGAAGAAAAACAGAGAACTGAGTCTGAGATGATGATTGAGAGGAATCAAAACTTCTCGCGATATTTCTGCGACTACAGATTCTCTCTCTCTCTCTCTCTCTCTCTGTTGTGCTTGCCACGTGCCTCTTGCCTTACTCCTTTCCCTTTCTAAGCCCAAAAGGCCGCCGATTCAGTGACCTTTTTTTCCCTTTTGGCTACTCACTCAATTGTTAAAAGTTACAACAACACAAGTTAAAATAAAAGTACCTCTCTAAATATTTTGAATATTACGTTACATTCATTATTTACAAAAAAAAAAAACATACTAAATATATATATATATATATCAAATAATATTTTACCTAAAGTATTAATTACTAAAACAGTACATGCCAATATGAAATTACATATGGCACCATCAAAAATTGGACCCAAACCCAAAGGCGTACATATTAGTTTCTTATTGTGATTATGGAACATTGTAGTAAGATTTTCTTTAAAGAAAATAGATTAAGTTTGTGGACGGGAGAGAGAGGAAGCATTGCAATAAGCGATGGCTGCCTTGAGGGAGTCATCCGTTAATGTTTCATCGTTGTAACTGGTGCTGTCTTCGCAGTAGTAATGAAGGGGGCTCTTGTTTCGTCGTCCGTGTACAACTTTAAGAACCCACTTCTCTCCCACGTTGACTTTCTCCTTTATGACTCCTACTATACTCAAACACCCCAGTCTCATCATCAACCTTGTCACGCTGCTGTATGCAGAGAAGCAGCTAGAGGCCGAGGAGAAGATCGCTGCCGCCTGCTTTCATTACCGGGAGATGTTGAAGAAGAAGAAGATGAGATGCTCAATCGGTTGCTGGTTTGTTGATTTGTATTTCAATAAAAGAATCACCATCCGAGACTTCATCTATCCATCCCACCTCGTTCTCTCCTTGGTTCATCTTATTAATTACCGGATCACTTCCTAAAAACTCTCTCTGCTAGCTCTAGAGTCTAGATATATATATATATATATATATATATGCTATCTCTTGCTTCTAATTCCCATCATTGATTGTTTGGCTAACAAATAATTAAATCAAATCGATACAGCTAGGTAGCAGCTCACAAGTTACACCATACATCATACTTGTATTCGGGGAGCACGTATGTGCATGTGAACACACATAACAACTGATACAATTATATATGTATTTTTATTATCGTCGGATCAAAGCTCTCGATGGGATCGGGGATTAGTGGTATAATTAAATCCGAGTCTTTAATAATATAGTTTGGACCCTGATAATAGCTTGTTAATCATTTGATCGCCTATATCTTGGGGAATCACATATTCACATGCATATATCACACATGTCTTTTCTTTCTAGTTTTGAAAGAATAATTTAGATCAACTCAATTTCAAAGGAAAAAAAAACAACTCAATTTTTTTTATGCCCAAACTTGTTACTTTTGTCAATACAAAGCAGGGGCGTATGTAACAGTAAGGTTCTTAATTAGGACTCGGAAAATAAATCGTTAAAGCGTGTTGGTTGAAGAAATATCACTAGATCAGAGACGAGCTAAAAGAAGTGTACGCTTAACAAGTATTTTCAACAAAATATGAATATGTAGGCCCTTTCTCCAATGTTTGGTTATAATTTGTACTGTAGAAAACGTCCACTATGAAGTACTGATATGTGCAACTGATTTGATATACTAATTTTCAAAATCGATTTGCTTCGGCTATACTTGGACTCCAAGTGATTAATATGTGGTGGGATTGCGTACAAAATTCATGCCAAGAGGCAAGAAGCCTCATGTCTATTTCATAAATCTAGGGCACAATCTCCAAACCAAAATAGGATTGTCGGTCTTGCTAGGATTTCTTTCTATGCAAGTCATCTTATACTCCGAGAGATGCATGTTGCAACGAGTCCATTGTAATTAAAGTAGAGGAGAAGGGAGCCTAGTTTACATTTTTTTTTAGCAAGATACATATAATAAATAGGGGTATTATACCGGCTATAGGAAAATTCGCATCACTATTCGTTTCGTGATATATATACAATACAGTTTGTATTTTGAGAAAATGGAATATCGTATATGTATAATTAAGTTTGTTATGAGTAAACATGTTGGAAGGATATTAAAATGACTAGGAGACGCCGAACATCTGGTCGAGGAGTATAACGAGGGCCATGGCGATGGGAGATTGGAAAGAAGAGTGGACGACGAGGCGGAAACACGTCGTCTCCCACACACCCTCTTTTCCTTATCAGCTCACACACTTTCCGCTGGTTAGCGTCGTACACCACGCAACATCGCTGGGAGTATGATCCTTGGATGTGGTATGTCTTCTTTTTTGAACAGGTGCTGGTGGCGTAGGCCAGTGTCTTCGATTTCAGTCTGTTGAGGCGCTTTCTCACCGTTAACTGCGGCTTCAACGCTGTCTCTCCCTCGCACACCACCCAGCAATCTCCAAGGCTCAGCATCTGTTATCATGATTATATATGTAATGATTCAGATTAATATAGTGGACGTACGTACGTGTGTGAGAGGGATATGTTGGAAAAGATGAAAATACCTTGCGGGCGGATGGTAAGGAGAGGCTTGCCGGAGGCGTCCATCAGAAGGATCTGCCCTCTGTTGCCGTGCATATAGTTGTCCACTCGGAATACGAGATCCCCATTGGAGTCGAACACCGCGAAGCCGTTGCAGCTGAACATCAGAGACTTCTTCCAAACCGTTAACACAGACGCCTCGCTGCCCGTTTCTAGGGACGGATTCTTCCCGCCCTTAGGATGAACCTTCGCCATTCTGTTGCTTGAGTTGCTGTTCAAGAGAGATGATAAAGCAAGCAGAGGAGCTTACCAAAACAACAGAGCAAGAAGTAGCTGCCCTTTTATATCACCCCACCAACAACCTCAAGGGACCCTATATACATGTATGTTCATCTCTCTTTTCGGTTACTCTCTCTCTTGTCTTCTTTTCTTTATTCTCCCCCACCCTGCTCCAGATTACGACCCCCACATGGTGGTTTTTGTTCTTCGAATGCTTCTCATTGGATTATAGACACTTTATTAGATTACAAATATGACCTGTCTCTCGGACTTGCGTGGCTCAAGATGACCCATACCCCCCCCCCCCTTTCATCATCTACAACCACCACTCGTTCTACTTTTTTCTTATTCTTTGGCTCATTTAATTATACGGCCAAGCTAACTAGTTTGATTAGGATATAACTATTGTCTATTGGATTAGCTAAGGTCGGCTTGTCACCATCCGGCCATACATTTATTATTTTGTATTAGGATAACAAAAGGCTGAGGGATGATTTTCTAATCTAATACCTAGTTGTCTTTCTTATTGCCAAGGAAATGACCGATATACATTTTGTTTGGAATAATTTAGGGAATAAACTCCAGTCCAAATTCTAAGCTGATCACCAAAACATATGAAAAATCAAAAATGTATATCGATCATTTTAGGATAACATATGCGAACTGCTGTGCCTGTGGTCGAGACACCGACCAGTTCTGATGAGCAATAAGATATGTATCCTCATAATCGGCCCAAGTATTAATAACCCCGAAGCAGACCCATTAGTATGGCCCATGTGAAAAAGGAAAAAGAAATGTAAAGCCCAATCGCTTTCGGCAACATGGAGTAGACTGTGTCAACTTCCTGCCTGTAAACTGTAGAGGCAGAGAAGAAGAGAAGACCACTCCCAGTGGTTCGGTGTGGAGAGCGTCGTTGTTGTTCATCTCCGGTTGCAATTAGGGTTTGAATCAGTAAATCGATAAATCGGCTTGGTGCTGCATCTGAGATTGAGAATGAGATCCTTTCCACTGCATTCCATCTGCTGACAATGGGCAACTGCGGTACTAGAGACGAGGCTGCTGTCTTCACTCCTCAAGCTCAAGGTCTCCCTCTCTCTCTCTTCTCTCCCTCTCTCTCTATCTCCATCTCTATTTCTCTCCCTTTTTCCTGATCTCTCTTCTCTTTGGTTCACCTCGCAGCCCAACAGCTCCAGAAGAAGCACTCCCGCTCCGTCTCAGATCTGAGCGATCCATCCACTCCTCGCTTCCGGGACGACTCTCGCACTCCTCTTTCGTATGCCCAGGTCATCCCCTTTCACTTTATTGAGCTCGAGACCATCACCAAGAGTTTCCGCCCGACTATATTCTCGGAGAAGGCGGCTTCGGCACCGTCTACAAGGGCTACATTGATGACAATCTCCGCGTTGGCCTCAAGTCTCTCCCTGTAGCCGTCAAGGTCCTCAACAAGGAGGGCCTCCAGGGCCACCGTGAATGGCTTACCGAGGTCAACTTCCTCGGCCAGCTCCGTCATCCCAAACCTCGTCAAGCTTATTGGTTACTGCTGCGAGGACGATCACCGATTGCTTGTTTACGAGTTCATGCTGCGAGGCAGTCTTGAGAACCACCTCTTTCGAAGTAATCCCCGCACCCTTCTCCATTTAGTATACAAGTCGACTATACACATGTAACTATCAGAGTTGCGCAGATTTTTTGCTTTTCGCCCTATTCCGTTTTGTTAACCTGCTCATCATACTTAGTCTATATTTAACCAAGTCACCATGGCCTCTCCTCAGAAACCACAGCTCCCCTGTCTTGGTCTAGAAGGATGATGATTGCTCTTGGAGCGGCGAAAGGGCTTGCTTTCCTCCACAACGCTGAAAGACCGGTTATTTATCGGGATTTCAAGACATCCAATATACTGCTTGACTCGGTAACTAGTCATTCTTTTCTTCCAGCGCTCCAAAAGTTCCTCCAAGACATTGGGAATACCTTTTCACAGCTAATATGTCCTTGCTTGGGTTGAACCTGCAGGACTACACAGCCAAGCTTTCAGATTTTGGGTTAGCTAAAGCTGGGCCCCAGGGTGATGAAACCCATGTATCAACTCGAGTGATGGGTACTTATGGCTATGCTGCCCCAGAATATGTGATGACTGGTATGAATTGCATAATATTGCGACATGTATCACCTTCAACTTATTGCATATACGATGTTGCTCGTGCAGTGTCTTATTTTCGCTTGGTCTGTGATGGGAGCGATGAATACTGTTTATATAGGTCCTACCGTTTGAAAATAGGGTAGTTTGTTAACTAAATGTGGGAGTTCACTTGAACTGATTCAACTTATCTTTCCGTTCAACCTGCTGTTACCTCTACTTCTCTGCTTAGGTACCTTGCTAATATTTAGCATATAGTACTGTGGCGTTCATTTTGAACCATGCCTCTGATGTGCACTCCTATTTCTCACATTATTTCGAGCAACAAAGTGTCTCTTTTTTGCATGCCAATAAGTGCTTAAAACCATTACACAAATACGCACTGACTTGACTCTGTTACCAATGAACAAGGACACCTGACGGCCCGAAGTGATGTGTACAGCTTTGGAGTTTGTTCTTCTGGAGATGTTGACAGGAAGAAAATCAGTGGACAAGACAAGACCTAGCAAAGAGCAGAACCTGGTTGATTGGGCTCGGCCGAAGCTGAATGATAAAAGAAAGCTGCTGCAAATAATTGACCCGAGGCTGGAGAACCAATACTCTGTCAGGGCAGCTCAGAAGGCATGCAGTTTGGCGTATTACTGTCTTAGCCAGAACCCGAAAGCTAGGCCATTGATGAGTGATGTGGTTTGAGACTTTGGAACCTTTGCAGTTGTACAGGTGATTCCCTAATACCTGGTGCAACAACTGCGGCTGGAGCTGCATTTGCAATGGGAGGGGTGCCTGATTATAGAATGCACCGGAGGTTTGCAAAAGAATGTTGGGCCTGGTGCCATTTGCAGGTCACCCAATCCAAGTTGTTCACCGGGTGGACCTGCAGCATGCAGAGTGCGGTGATAAGTGTTTCAAGTGTACATAATGGGTTCGCAGTTGTCCTCCTTTTGCGTAATTTTTCTCTGAGCCCCAAACGTCTAGTTGCTAAAAATCATGGAATGCGGTTTGCTTCACGTTGTTTTTGTTGTTGTTGTTGCTGCTGTTTATTGCCCACAAATACAGTGGTTGATCTGTCTACCAGAGTCTTGTATGATTATGATTGAGCGTGGTTTTTGTTTTAATCCCCGCATTCTGATGTAGTGCTTGTATTAGTCACACATTTCTCTCTAACAGCACTCCCGTGGTGAAGGTTTAGGACTGTTCCCCGGCCATGAGGGTTGGTACTGTTGCAGATAGTACTGGTGAAGAGAAGACATCCAAAGTGATGAACGTTGCTGGCTGTTGGCCTGTTAATAATAATGCATTGTGATTGGGGAATGATTGAATTTGACTGTAGTGGTACTTGGGAATGATGAGGAGTGAGATGTTGCGAAATTGATGCTGCCTTCGCTGTATATGATTGGGACTTAAAGGAATCTGGAGGAGTGACCCACTAAACCCTCTCTCTCTCACCTGTAACTCTTTTTATCCACCACACAGATCTTGGTCATCACCCAAATCTATGTTTCTGCATCTTGACTCGGGGAAAACAACCTTTTTTAATGTTTTGGAGCCTAGCATTAGCAGACCACGGTTGCTTGCGTTTTGTTAGGCTTGCTATGCCAACAATTATGGTTACTGACACAGCCCATGGCCAAAGTGGATTATTTATCTTCAAGCCTTTGGTGATGGATGATAGCACTAGTAGCCTGTGCAGATCTTATCTGGGCTCGTTGTGTGCAGTTGGAGAAGAAAATGTGGCCAGCGGAGGACGGGGATGGATGGACTCCAGAGGAGTATGGAGGAGGTAAGCTTGATGAGCCGTTGGAGTTGGAGCTATGCTTTTAGACGTGCAAATGCTTGTTCCTCGACCACTTGTGCCACCATGCCTTGCTTGTTTCTGTAGCAATTGACCAAACTTCCCAACAAGCCCTTTGGCGTTTGCGCCTTTGTTCCCCAAGTCATGCCATTGTAATTCTTGATCCATGAAACTTCTATTCTTTTCTGTCTTTCTTGTACCCAACATCAGCATCCTATCATCACTATATAGAATGAATGGAATTTCTTGAGGTTGTTCTGCGCCGTTCTTTGAGTAACATTCATCATAAACATTTTTTGTTTTTTAATATACAAAGCACTCGAAGACGACGACGACGACAGCCCAATCTTTTTTTTAAGCCAATAATTAAAGGCCCAGCTAGATGGGCTTTTGAATAAGCCTTTTGGGACCAAATATCCATCTCTTTCATCATCCTCCATTCATTTTCTCAACTTTAGTCTTCTCTTCGACGGCATGGAATGTGAGTGAGTAGATCGCCGAAAGGATTTGGGACACATGGCTTCGAGGAAAGGACCTTGGGCCTTATCACCCGGGATTTTCTCGCTTCATACTTACGACAAATATCCTCTCTCCTCCTCTTTTCGACGGACGTTTTTCGGCGTTTCCTCTGACATCGCGTCTCTTAATCAGCATACTAACCCTCCAGTCCTTGCGGCGCCCTTCTCAAGGTTCTCGATCTCATAGTACACCCAATCCGCTTTTTGATTTCCTACGTTTATGAATTTACCATAAATTTATTATCGTTCCCTTTGTAGGAGGAAGCTTCGCCTGTCGACGAAGCATTACATGCGGCACCCTTCAACTCACAAAATTGATGAGATATAATGTTGGAAAAAATCTGGGAGCAGATGGAGGAGATGTTTTTGTTTCTTCTGCAACCATCTCGTTGGCCTGCTCCAGGTCTAAACCCAGACACTTTAGCTTCGTTCTTGTACCTTGCCCCAACCTTGTTGCTCATGTCTTCTGGTGAACATCGCTCTTGAGATATTTTTTTTTTTGGGTTAGTTGTTTTGCTCCTAGCTTCGGGACCATGTCCACAATCGAAGATGCTGATTTTCTCTTTCTATTTTGCGATATCGTCGCGAAAGGACAATTTTGATAACAGCTTTACTCTGCTTGGATTTGCCCTTCCAGACGAAAAACTCCGAGCGCGTGTTCAGCACAGGTTAATTCTACGCATACACTGTTATACATTACATAGATATAAACAGCTTCATACGAGTATTGATGCTTTTGTTTTTTGTTCTACAGTTATGACCTACATGCCTCAAGATTTCCGAGGAACGCTCATCAGACAGCAGAAAGAGAGGTCGGAGAGGAACAAACAGGCGGAGGTGGATGCCTTGGTTAGCTCTGGAGGGAGTATACGCGACATATATGCTCTTCTTTGGAAGCAACAGATGGAGAGGTGAGCCTGCTCGTTTCTGATTTGTTCATTGATGCTTGCTTACATAGAGTATGTATTATGCATTTTATTGACTTTTTTCTGACATAGGAGGAGACAGTTGGCTCAGCTAGGCTCTGCGACTGGTGTCTACAAAACCCTGGTGAAATACTTGGTAGGGGTTCCACAGGTAGGCCTACCCATCCACTCTTCCTGGCAAATTTCTTTTCCGTCCGCTCTCTTCACCAAATCTTCTCCGGCCGATAGCCCTCATAGCTCCATTTGCGCTTCTCGCAATTTTCAGCATACATGACATCTTGAGTTGTTGATGCTTTTTTAGTGGCATAACCTCTGTAGCGGTGTGATTGGACTTATATTCGACAATATTAAATGATGATGTATGGGGTTATGTACATCAGCGGTCCTCACTCGTAAAAGTCAATGATTGTTTGGCTTATGCGTGCGCATGAAAATTACAAGGTTTGCATATAGAAAACTTCTAACTCGAATTAGAATCTAATCTTCTATCGCTGTAAAGAGCCAAGGCAAGATGACAGAACACCGATGAACGTTTAGGACCCCCCATCTATACAGTCTTCACAAAAAACGTTGCTGACGCGACTAATTACCGAAGATTTCCGTCTACTCTTCTGTTGGGAACATTTTTAGGAAACAGATCTGAGACCTTCGAACTGTAATGATAGTTTGGATAATATTTTCCTTTTAGTTTTGTTGTTAAATATTAACGTTTTCAAAGTATTCATTGGAATCATCTGTCAATGAAATCTGAAAGGTGTCTGCACACGTTAGATATAATGTGGGATGCAGCAGGAATATAAAGACCAACATGAATATCATGTCTGAAGCACTGCGATCGTACACTATGACATCTGAGTTTGATAATGATATCGTCCAATCATTGAGTTATCATAGGTTAACTAATTACCAATCTTCCTTTCCGATCGTTAACGTGGACGATGCTGCTACTGTAGCTGGTATCACAATGGATCACTAGGAGGAGAAAATTCACTCTTGAAAACTACGTTTGCTCCGCTATGATGTTTGTTTTCTTGTGTTTCCTTTTGATAGCTTTTTTCTTAATACTCCTAACCCATTGTTGCCTGTATGCTGAAAAGACAATTCGTATCAAGCCTTTAGAGTGAAAATTAAGTAGTTAATGTGTTGTTAGATTTTTCAGTTTTAGTTAAAGTTCTTGTTATCTACAGTTACAAACATTACACTTATGTGGAAGGTTAGACGCTCTTTAAGCGCATTGCTTTCTCACACTCAGTGCCATAGAATTAAACGTTTTAAGCTTGTGGACCCTTTTTCAGCCGAGGGTTATTTGCCAATGTCCCCTTCGTCATTTCAAGCAGATACCACTAGAGCGATATTAGCGCTCAAGCGCTTAGCTTCCATACATTCACAAAATTTCTTCAAAATACAGATTCACAATGATATCTCACAATGTATTCGTTACTTAGGCAACAACATGCAGGAGTACGTACAAGCGATGATAATAGCTTCAAAGCGCTACCGGGCGATGAACGAATGCACATGCGGCTAATTAATAGTTCACCTCTCAAATGCCTGTGTTTATGAAATGAAAACTGAATGTTTTTGCCATTAGTAGACTCTTTACAAGATATTCGCTACCTGTCGCCTTCAAAAAATTTGAAAAAGTGATGCTTGTAATGACAAAATAGTTTGAAATAGGCAATATCACAATTTAGTTGGGTGTTTCAATAAGGAAACTTCAAAAGCTATAAGCACTTGCATTTGACCAGTGCGTAAGTACATCTACGCCTGATGAATGCGATTTAAGTTGTGCTTCACTTCTACTAGGTCTCATTGAGGTGCGAATCCGAAAAAACCATTCATACCATTGCTTGGCGATTTCTCCTGGATGCCCACAAGGCAAGATAAAGCATAGCGATGATCACTTTTTGAACCTCAGATCTGTTCTCCGCATATGTAACCATAAATCACATTCTGCCATTCGCTGTTTCTTGCTCTTGTTTCTAGTGTCTAGGCTGTTCTCTTTTAGTAGGTCTACAGTAACAAGATATTCATGAAAAAAAATTGTATTTATTTCTTTTTTGGGTTACATGCCGAGAGCATCACACATTGTCTCTATCTGCCCTATTGCAGAAATAAAATTGTATATGCTGCTGTTTTTTGCAAAAATCTAGTTAGCTTTTGTCGCACTTAGTGGGCAGCCTTTCTTTCTCTGTGATGAATCTTTTAATGTGAAAGACAAACAATAATTGTTGTTTATTGACCCTTAATTTGGTTTGTCCTCTGTTTTAATTCCTATTTTTATTTTAACAGGATATTGGATTTAGCGTGGAGTACATAAGTGCGTCAGGGGAAAAAGACTGTGAGTGTGCTCTTTAGTTTCCAAACTGTCAATAAAACTTTACTAGTGTATAGTGCAAACGTTATCTCTCTCTTTAAAATATCCCATTCAAATAGTGAAGTTTATATTCTGAGGGGTGATTACGATTTTTTCTTATTGCAGCTGATATTACTTACCGTCGGTATGAAGCCTGACCAGAGTCGAGTAGCCATGGCATATGTGCATATGTGGCGAAGCTTTTGAGTTTTTGCTAGATTGCTTGTTTGCCATTGCAATAGATGTTGTTTAATGTCATACGTTTTAGAGGCTTCACTGTGTTTATCTCCTACAGGAAACTTCCTCACTACGCTAATGGCATGGAAACTACAAACTTGTTTAACGGTGAATAACTCCATATTCAACTCCTTTCTTCAAAAAGGTAGAATGATAGCGTACAATTCTGCGGCCAGAACAAGATGAACAATCAATATCCTTTTTAGCCTACTGTTCCATTAGCTTTCACCTACATGAGGATTCTGCTTCCATGACTAACTCTTTTTTTCTTTCTTCTTGTGTGCAAGTAGATCTGGCTTCGATATAAAGTGGATCTCGCATACCACCAGTAGGTGGAGGCCGGACAAAACTGAAAGCTGGAAGGTGAAAGGTGATTAGAGTCATGAAAACTTATTTCATTTGTTTGTATAAGGACAAAACTCTGGACCCTTCGAAAGTCTCATCATAAATAGTCTGTTGTGTATCTCTGACAGGAACGTATGACCTGACTGTGTTTGCATTACTAAATCAACATCATTGCAGAAGGAAGTGAAAATGTGGCGATGGAAGGATATATACTACTTTTAGGGACGTATGCGGGTCAACACCTTTTTATATATAACTCTGTTCACTTGATAGTTATATGAATGGTGAGTAAATACATAAATGTATGTATGGCATCAGCCATTGGCTACAGCAGAGCTGGAAAAATAAAATCCAGGATATTGCTTTTTCGTTAATTGCACGTATGATCCTTCCTCGAGGGTGAGTTCACTTCCTGATCCCTAGTTCTTTTAAATGATAGCTGTCGAATAATTTGTTGCTTTCAGGGTTCAACCAAGTCAAAGGTAAGAGGGGGACTGCTTCAGTTCCTGAACTTGGTCCTTGAGTTCAGGCGCCAGTTCTCCACAATTCATTTATTACTACAGAGCTCCTTGGTCGAGACTTATGAGAGTTAAAAGGATGAACATATCTTGTGTTGAATTCTTTCCCTTCATCACATCTTTCAAATC